GCCTGTCGCCGTCTGCTGGAAGGTAGCCAGGGCATTCTTCATTCCGAAAGGCATAACCTTGAACTGGTATAGCCCAAACGGGGTGAAAAATGCCGACTTAGGGATGGCTGCTGGCTCCAGGGGGATTTGCCAATAACCTTTGCAAAGATCTATGGTAGTTGAGTAATTCCCCCAGGCCATATGATTTAGCAGCTCGTCTATCTGGGGCATGGGGTAGGCATTCATGACTGTCTGGTCATTAAGTTTCCGGTAGTCGATACAGAAGTGAGTTGTACTATCTCGCTTAGGCACCAGCACTACCAGAGAAGCCCAAGGGCTCTGAGACAGCTCTATGACCTGAATCTCTTTCAACATGCTCTCACTACCTGCTTCAGGGATACGGTAAGGTTATTACTGTTTGGGGGTTTCTCCCTGGCTCTCGACACCATGGACCGCAGCAGAGGTGTACCAGCGTAGAGAAGAGAACATTTTGCGGTATCCTTGAAGCAGCTAGGCAGCCTCTGCCTTTTCTTAAGGGCTCGAAAGAGGGGGCGCATACCACAGCCAAGTCCTCTGATTGTCGTATCCATTTATCTGAACATTTTCCTATAATGTAGGTAGTGTCGCTTTTGAGCTTCACTACGTGCAAGAGTCCCTCCAGGCTGCCTGAAGCTTTTCCTTTTTGGTCAGCTTCAGAGCTAATACTTTCTATTCTATTTCTAGGACTTTCTCTCGGGCACCCTCGGGTAACCTCTTCTGGTGTCACTGAGCCGTCTGCAGATTCTCCCTAATGGAGTCAGTGAGTGCCTGCAGGCAACCCCTGAACTCCAGGACAAAGGGTACAATAGGGATCCCTCCCTCCTCTGTGTTACCCTCCCAGGTCCAGGGGTCCTGTGGACTCCTGGGGCACTTTGCGGTAGGCAAACAGGAGGTGGGGAAGGAATCTCTCCCAGTGCCGACAGGAGGTTGTGAAAGTTTTGAGCATCTGTTTGAGCGCACCATTAAAATGTTTACAGAGTCCATTCATCTGGGGATGGTAGGGAGAACTAAACAGGGGTTTACTCCACAACTCTGCCACAATTGCTGGGTTACAGTTGCTGGGTCACCTTGTCAGACAAGATCTCCAGAGGGAAACCTAGATGGGCCGAATGGTTCTTATCTGTCGTCACATTCTATGTTTCTATGTTTCTATAAACCTACTCTAGTAAAAATTTTAACAAGGGCCTCAGCTACGGTTTCTGCGTTTACATTAGGGTAGTCTACTGCCTCTGGATACCAAGTAGCATAGTCTACCATGGTAAGAATGTATTTCTTGCCTGAGATGCTGGGCTTACTGAGGTGGCCTATCAGGTCCACCGCTACACAGTTGAATGGTTCCTCAATTATGGGTAATGGGTGAAACTTGGCCTTCGGATGGTCACTATTTTTTCCTATCTTTTGGCAGACATCACATGTCCTGCAGTAATTCTGCAGGTCTTGTGTTATCCCTGGTCACAGGATGGTCTGGGTTAACCGGTCCTTCGTTTTCTGGATACCCAGATGTCCTTATAGGGGAATGTCATGGCTAAGCTAAAGTAGTTCATCCCGATATTTGCTGGGGCACTACCAGATATCGTTTAGCCACTTGCACTGCTCCCCTTGTAAGCCTGTACAACAACCCCTTCTCCCACTCAAATCTCTCCTGCTCTATACCTCCTTGGGGGGACTCTGCCTGTTTTCTATACACTTCTAGTTCGGGGTCGGCCCTCTGTTCACTTTCAAAACCTTGGAGGGTACCCTAGTATGGGGTGCGGTTCTCGACTAGGGTTGGGACATGGGGTCCTACCTGAGGGTCCTCGGAGTGCATTGGTTCTCTCCTGTGGCTTGCAGTCTCTTGGTCACGGGTAAGGTCTGCTCTGGGCAAGGAGCAGTAAACTGTGACGTTAGGCAGCCCAGGTCATTCCCCAACAGTACTTCAGCGGGGAGATCATACATAATGCTGACCTCCAGATGCTTGGCCCATTCTGACTCCCTCCTCTTCTTTCTCCCGTGTGGCTCCTGGTGGTTGCTGAAAGGAAGTGACTGGGGCAGTCACTTCCTCCCAGCATCTGACATCATCAGAGGGGGCCTGGTCAGGTGGTTAAAG